CGTCGGGCCTCGCCAGGGTCCTGGCCGAGCTCGGCGGCTTGGTTCGCGGGGACCTGCAGAAAGTGCAGCTGCAGGTGCAGCCCGCGTATGCGGCCGCGGGCTTCCCCGCGTGGGAGACCTACCTGCGCGCCTATCACGGCGCCGTGGCGCAGCGCCTTCAGGAGCTCGCGCAGGACGCCCGCGGCTGCGAGCAGCTCTACATCCTGCTGGACTGGGCCGCCAACGTCTACGGCAGGTGAGCCGGCCGGGCACTGCCCACGCCCAGGCCTGGGGAGCCCGCCCTGAGGAGCGCGGGGCACCGGTCCTCGCCGGGAGGGGCCGCCGATTGGGCGTGGGCATTCCCGGGGCCAGCCCGGGGTGGGCCAGGCTGGGGGCCTACAGGCCTTCCACATTCTTTCCTCCGCGTCCGAGGCCACACTGCGCTCTAGCCGGGCTTTCACAGGGGGCCACCCGTGCGCCGGCTCTTGAACCTGGGATGCGTCGGAGGGGACGTTCCCACCGAGGCGGGGAACCCAGTTAGAGGGCCCACGCTAGTCCACAGGGTGCCTTTAAGTGAATTAGGAAAGGGCCCCCCTCCAGGCAGGACACAACCGCGGGCTCACTGCGGCGTGGCCTGGGTTGGATTTCACCCCCACTCTCGCTCGTCTCTGGATGGCCACCTAGGAGCAGGGCACAGGCGGACCCACCTCCCGCCCTGCGGCTCTGCGCAGGGCGACGGGCTGAGCGCTCCCGGCCCCACAGGCAGGAGAGCGTGTGTGTGCGTGTGTGTGGGGGGGGGGTGCCTGGAGTCCTGGGCACGTTAACTTGCTGTGTGTCCTCAGGTAGATACTCGGCCCTCTCTGGGCTTCCCTGGTGGGCCGGAGAGTGGCAGTTTCCTGAGACGTGTGGTACTGGGGCGCTTAGAGCTCAGACCGTGAGGGCAGAGAGGTCCCTTCTGAGGAAGCCTGGCCGAGGTCCGCCGGGGCAGCCGTTCTATGCATTCTCGCACAGGGGTGATTGCTGGTGCCAGGAAACCCAGCAGTGAGAAGCTTGGGGGGGGAGTGTGATCAGAGACCGGGGTTCGGGACCCTGCGGTGATGGTGATAGTGGTACCCGCTGAGCCCGGTCAGAGGGTCGTGGAGTCAGCCGCTGCCTCATCAGCCCCCGCCCTGCCTTCCAGTCCTAACTTCCTGGGCGCCCCGGATCTGACCCTGTCCACGGAGCCGCTGCCCCCGCTCCTGGCACCCGACGTGTGGGCCCAGCTGGAGAGCGACTACACCCGCTTCCTGGAGGTCAGGCGGGGGCGGGG